GTTTTGAAATTTTTTTGGATAAATTGAATACATTTAATAAGGGTAAACTTGGAAAGCAAAAGTTAACTTGTATAATATATGGATAAAATTGGAGTGGAAAAATCATTACCTATATATTAATGACATTGTTTTAAGTGTAAGGAGAATGACACATGTCAAGCAAAAAATGGAGAATGTTCAAAGGGGAAGATTAGAAAAAAGGTTGCTAGCATTCCCATTGCAAGATTTATCTCACCCTTAGTTGTTCTAGGGTCTCCCTACCAACCTTTTTTATTGGATCTTTGTAGATCTATCTTTTTTAACCTATGTTTGTGTTGTCCTTGCAGTTTTTGGAGTTAATAAGGTGGATCTCCATCAAATCTCTTGGTTGAGGGGTGGAGCCACTAATTTTGTGGATCTACTATCAATTGGTTTTTGGGTTTGATAGACGTCGTGATCATGTGTCCTGGTGGAAGTTTATATAAAATTGATAGTGAGATTTGATATTCCACTTATAAGTGTTTTATATCCCCAACACCCAAACTAGTAGAGAGCTCTCATATGTCATATAATCTTCTTGCATAACCAAATGCAGTAGTTTTATGAATTCCTCTTATGACCTTCAGTTTTGAGTGAGTTGGGTCTTCAAGATGTATAATTGTTTTTGCTCATTATCTTGCAATAGTTATGTTTATTACGTGTATCTTTCTATTGTTTGCAAGATATGTTTGTGGGGCTATGTTATTGTATTGCATTAATGAAATTGTTGCTGCTACCAAAAAAATTTCAATTATTTAAAACTGGGGGTATCACTTAAGGCAATACATTTTATTACTAATATAATTTATTTATTTTGTGATACATGCGATATTGGAGAGGGGAAAATCGAATTTAAGCCTCGAGTTCAAAGATAAATACTTTTAACCACTTGAGCTACGAAGCCCCTTAAACTAATTGAAATATTTTAATGAATCTACACTGTGTTGATTGAAAAAAAAAAATTATGAATAAAACTTAAAATGAAGTGGAGTTGGTTATAGGCAGGGGCGGTCCTATACCTAAGGCAAGGTAGGCTACTGCCTACCCCAAAATTTTCGAAAATAAAAAATACCCATATAAAATAGACTAACCCATGTGAAATCCACCCAAAAAGTAAGCCATATGTTATGTATGCATAACCTAAAATTTATCCTCTTTAATTATCTCCTCTTTGATTTTTGGAATTTTGTTGAGATGTTTGATTTGATATTGGTATTGTTGAGATGTTTTGATTTGTTGTTGGTATGTTAATGTTTGATTAAAGGCATTGATGTTATTATGATAATTTATTTGATTTTTTGTTGGGATGTTAGATTAAATAGGTTATCTTTTGTTATGTCAGATCACAATTCGAATCCCAAGAAAATAAAGAATTTGTTGGAATTTTTTTTTATTTAAGAAAAAGAATAGTTTTTTTTCGCTATACTTTTATTTATGTATAGAGATGCATTTGAGAGTAAAACTCATTATGTCCTCATACTAGGTGTATATTTTTATGTTTATTAATGAGATTCACTCATAACCTTGAGTTTTTAATGTGAGTTTCACCCAGTTGAATTTCAAATCCTAGATCCGCCACTGGGAGAAGTTATAAGGTGTTGATATTATATCATTTTGTGGGGATTATATGGGATAAGTATTCTTCATGAGTAATCCTTCTTCTACCTTCAATTTGATATATATATTTTTTAACATGCTTTAAATATAGGAAATTGACCTATCTTAATCTAATCATAGGAACACAACCAGAGGCTCTCTCTCTCTACTAGTCCCCAACCCTTCAGGGTCGCTTTTGGGGGGGAGGTGGTCTGCCCCTCCTCCCTCCCCTCATCTTCCTCCTTTTTTCTCCTTCCCCCTTTTCCCTTCTCTTCCTTTCTCTCTGTTTATCTCTTATTGTTTCCCTCTTTCTTTTACTGTTTCCTCCTCACCCTCCGTGGTGATTTTGGCTCACCCTCTGTGGTCCCCACCCAAAATGGGTGTTTTTCCCCTGAGCTTTGTCTCAGATCTGGGGCTTCTTGCCTCCACTTCGGTTTCCTTTAGTTTTTTTTTTCCCTGTTTTTCCTCAAGTTAAGCCTACTTTGTGAGACCCTTTATCTCCAATCTCTTCATCTCCTTTCTTCCCTAGCCACCTTCACTTTTCACCCTCCACTTCTTA